TTTTTTTTTTTTTTTATCACTATTGCTCTGTAGTACAGCTTGAGGTCAGGGAAGGTGATTCCCCCAGAAGTTCTTTAGTTGTTTGGAATTTTTTTCACTATCTTGGGGTTTTTTTTTTGTTGTTGTTGTTATTCCAAATGAAGTTGATAATTACACTTTCTTTCTCTGTGAAGAATTGAGTTGGAATTTTGATGGAGGTTGCATTGAATCTGTAGATTGCTTTTTGGCAAAATGACCATTTTTACCATATTAATCCTAATAGTCCATGAGTATGGGAGATCTTTCCATCTTTTGAGATCTTCTTTGATTTCTTTCCTTAAAAACTTGAAGTTCTTCTCATACAAATCTTTCACTTGATTGGTTAGATTCACACCAAGGTATTTTATATTATTTGTGACTATTGTGAAGGGTGTCCTTTTCCTAATTTCTTTCTCAGCCTGTTTATCCTTTGAGTAGAAGAAGGCTACTGATTTGTTTGAGTTAATTTTATATTCAGCCACTTTGCTAAAGTTGTTTATCAGGTTTAGGAGTACTCTAGTGGAAGTTTTGGGATCACTTAAATATACTATCATATCATCTGCAAATAGTAATATTCTGACTTCTTCTTTCCTATTTGTATCCCTTTTAGTTCTTTTGGTATCTAATCGCTCTGGCTAGGACTTCAAGTACTGTATTGAATAGGTAGGGAGAGAGTGGGAAGCCTTGTCTAGTCCCTGATTTTAGTGGGATTGCTTCAAGTTTCTCTCCATTTAGTTTGATGTTGGCTACTTGTTTGCTGCATATTACTTCTACTATGTTTAGGTATGGGCCTTGAATTCCTGGTCTTTCTGAGGCTTTTACCATGAAGGGATGTTGAATTTTGTCAAATGCTTTCTCAGCATCTAATGAGATGATCACATGGTGGGTCTTTTTTTTAGTTTGTTCATATAGTGAATTATGTTGATAGATTTCCATATATTGAACCATTCCTGCATTTCTGGGATGAAGCCTACTTGATCATGATGGATGGTTCTTGGATTATATTTGTGAGAATTTTATAGAATATTTTTGGGATGATATTCATAAGAGAAACTGGTCTGTGTACTCTCTTTGTTGGGTCTTTGTGTGGTTTAGGTATGAATGTAATTGTGGCTTCATAGAACAAATTGCAGCATGTTTCTTCTGTTTGTATTTTGTGGAATAGTTTGAAGAGTATTGATATTAGTTCTTCTTTGAAGGTCTGAAAGAATTCTGCACTAAAACCATCTAGTCCTGGGCTTTTTTTGGTTAGAGACCTTTAATGACTGCTGCTATTTCTTTGGGGGTTATGGGCGTGTTTAGATTTTATTTTATCTGATCTTGATTTAACTTTGGTACCTGTTATCTGTCTAGATAACAGTCCAGTTTTGTTCAGTATAGGCTTTTGTAGTAGAATCTGATGAGTTTTTTAATTTCCTCAGTTTCTGTTGTTATGTCTCCCTTTACAGTTCTGATTTTATTAATTTGGATACTATCTCTGTGCCCTCTGGTTAGTCTGGCTAAGGATTTATCTATCTTGTTGATTTTCTCAAACAACCAGATCCTGGTTTTGTTTATTCTTTGGATAGTACTTTTTGTTTCTACTTGGTTGATTTCAGCCCTGAGTTTGATTATTTCCTGCCATCTACTCCTCTTGGGTGTGTTTGCTTCTTTTTGCTCTAGAGCTTTCAGGTGTGTTGTCAAGTTTCTAGTGTATACTCTTTCCAGTTTCTTTTTGTAGGCACTCAGAGCTATGAGCATTCATTTTAGCATTGCTTTCGTTATGTCCCATGGGTTTTGGTATGATGTTACCTTCATTTTCAATAAATTCTAAAAAGTCTTTAATTTCTTTCTTTATTTCTTCCTTGACCAAGTTGTCATTGAGTAGAGCGTTGTTCAGTTTCCACATGTATGAGGGCTTTCCATTGTTTTTTGTTTTGTTTTGTTTTCTGTTATTGAAGACTACTCCTAGTCAGTGGTGATCTGATAGGACACATGTGATTATTTCAATTTTCTTGTTCATGTTGAGGACTGTTTTATGACCAATTATATGGTCTATTTTGGAGAAGGTACCATGAAGTGCTGGGAAAAAAGAATATTCCTTGTTTTAAAATGAAATGTTCTATAGATATCTGTAAATCCATTTGGTTCATAACTGCAGTAAGTTTCACTGTGTCTCTGTTTAGTTTCTGTTTCTATGATCTATTCATTGCTGAGAGTGTGGTGTTGAAGTCTCCCACTATTATTGTGTGAGGTGCAATGTGTGCTATGAGCTTTAGTAAAGTACATTTTATGAATGTGAGTGCCCTTGCATTTGGAGCATAGATGTTCAGGATTGAGAGTTCTTGGTAGGTTTTTCCTTTCATGAGTAACCTTATCTTTTTTATACATTTTTTGTTGAAAGTTAATTTAATTTGATATTAGAATGGATACTGAAGCTTGTTTCTGGGGACCGTTTGCTTGGAAAATTGTTTTCCAGCCTTTTACTCTGAGGTAGTGTCTGTCTTTGTCACTGAGGTTCGTTTCCTGTATGCAGCAAAACACTGGGGCCTGTTTACGTATCCAGTCTGTTAGTCTATGTCTTTTTATTAAAGAATTGAGTTCATTGACGTTAAGAGATACTAAGGAAAGGTGATTGTTGCTTCCAGTAATTTTTGTTATTAGATGTGTAATTAGGTTTGTGTGGCTATCTTCTTTTGGGTTTGTTGAAAGAAGACTACTTTCTTGATTTTTCTTGGGTGTAGTTTCCCTCTTTATGTTGGAGTTTTCCATCTACCATACTTTGTAGGACTGGATTTGTGAGAAGATATTGTGTAAATTTTTGTTGTTGTTGTGGAATATCTTGGTTTCTCCATCTATGTTCTTTGAGAGTTTTGCTGGGTATAGTAGAGCCTGGGCTGGCATTTGTGTTCTCTTAGGGTCTGTATGACATCTGCCCAAGATATTCTGGCTTTTATAGTCTCTGGTGAGAAGTCTGGTGTAATTCTTATAGGTCTGCCTTTATATGTTATTTGACCTTTCTCCTTTCTGCTTTTAATATTCTTTCTTTGTTTTGTGCATTTGGTGTTTTGATTATTATGTGACAGAAGGTATTTCTATTCTGATCTAGTCTATTTGGCATTCTGTAGGCTTCTTGTATGTTTATTGGCTTCTCATTCTTTAGGTTACAGAAGTTTTCTTCTATAATTTTGTTGAAGGTGTTTACTGACCCTGTAAGTTGGGAATCTTTGTTCTCTTCTATACCTATTATCCTTAGATTTCGACTTCTCATTGTGTCCTGGATTTCTTGGATGTTTTGAGTTAGGAGCTTTTTGCTTTTTGCATTTTTGTTGGCTGTTGTGTCAGGGTTTTCCATGGTATCTTCTGCACCCGAGATTCTCTCTTCTATCTCTTGTATTCTGTTGGTGATGCTTGCATCTATGCCTCCTGATCTCTTTCCTAGGTTTTCTTTCTCCAAGGTTGTCTCCTTTTGTGATTTCTTTATTGTTTCTATCTCCATTTCTATAACCTGGATGGTTTTGTTCAATTTCTTCATCTGGTTGTGGTTTCCTACAATTCTTTAAGGGATTTTTGTGTTTCCCTTTTAAGGACTTCTACCTGTTTTTGTGTTCTCCTGTATTTCTTTAAGGGAGTTATTTATATCCTTCTTAAAGTTCTCTATCATCATCATGAGAAGTGATTTTAGACCTGAATCTTGATCTTCCAGTGTGTTGGTGTATCCAGGACTTGGTATGGTGGGAGAACTGGGTTCTGATTATGCAAAGTAACCGTGGTTTCTGTTGCTTATGTTCCTGTGCTTGCATCTCCATGTGGTTATCTCTGGTGTTAGCTGGTCTTGCTGTCTCTGATTGAAGGGATCCTGTGCCTCCTGTGATCCTGGTTATGTCAGAACTCCTCAGAATCCAGCTGTCTCTGTGATCCTGTGATTCTGGGATGCTGTGATCCTGAGATCCTAAGATCCTGAGATCCTGGGTGTGTCAGAGCTCCTGGGAGTCAAGCTGCTTCTGCGATCCTGAAAACCTGGAATAACAAAGCTGCTGAGAGCCTGTGATCCTGGGCATGTTAGAGCATCTTATCTTGGAATTGTTAGAGCACCTGGGAATCGAGCTTCCTCTGGGTGTTGTGGGACTGAGTGCTGTTCTAGCACCCAAGGTCTGCTCAGGGCACTGGCTCAGACCAGAGGAACCCATGTCACTGGCCTTTAGTTACATTTCTACTGCAGTGATAAGACATATGACCATGGCAACATACAGAAGGAACCATGGCAACATACAGAAAGAAGTTTATAATTTTACAAGGATAAGAGTCCATCACCTCACAGCAAGGGAGCATGGCAGCAGGCAGGTAGAGGGGCTGGAGCAGCAAGTTGAGGGTCCACATATTTTTGGTTTGGTTGGTTTGGTTTAGTTTTGGAGACAAAGTCTCACTGTGTAGTTCTGGCTGTCCTAGAACTCACTATGAAGATTAGGCTGGCCTCAAACTTGTAAAGAACCATCTGACTCTACCTCTGAAGTGCTGGAATGAGAGCCATGATACCATGTCCAATTGGGAGTGACATCTTCAGCACCAAGCAAGGTTCAGAGATCAAGAGATGGGAATGGCTTTCAAAGAGACACTCCAGTGACATCTTTCAGCAAGGCCACTACCCATAACATTATCCAAACAGCTGCCACTAACTAGGGAAAATATCTTACTATATAGAGGACAAGTTCCCTCAAACCACCACACTAGACATTTACAATAGCATCTAGGGGTTCATTCCTGAGTGCAGCACAGTAATGAATTGATACACAGAGAAAGGTGTCACCTGCTGTGGAGATGAGTAATCTCTCTTTGCTGGAACCTGATCTGCTCTCCTAGGAAGTCAATTTGGCTCCCTCTTTGAGGTGGTTCAGTTTGAAAGGTTTTTCAGTTTTGTTTTATGCATATGAATGATGACTGAATGTATGTATGTGCAGCACATGTGTGCCTGGTACTCTTGGAGGCCAAAAGAGGGCAGAAGTGAAATTCCAGGCAGTGGTGAGTGACATTGTGTTGCTGCTGAGAATCAAGCCTGACTGCTGTGCAAGAGCCACAAGTGTTCTTCAGTGCTATCCCATCTCTCTTATTCCAATGGTTCCGTTTAAACTGTGGGCACAGGAGCCTAGGGTTTCATGACTGAAAAGAGTTTTTAGCCTTGATCATCTGCTTTGTGTTTAATTCTTAAAAATCCAGTCTATGGGCTAGCCATTCATCTATATTTAGGATCTTTGTGTCCTGTTAGCCATGGCCCTTTGAGCAGTCAGGAACCAGATTGTGCCCCTCTTACTCATAAGTGGACCACTGTCCTTGATGCTGCTGTCTCCTGACCACTGCACATGATGGGATGTTCTGTGTCACACTGCTGGGATTCCAAGTTAGAGATACAGATTCCTACCACCACACCCACCCTTCAGCTATCAGCATCATCCCCAAGCTTCTCACTATGCCAATGCCTTTCTCTCTGTTCATGCTTAATATCCTTCTCAACAGGGGTCTCCAGCATCCCACAGAGCAACATGAACTCTTCACACTTCCCACAGAAATACAGGATGTTACATTCATCTGGGTATATGCATTTCTCTGAGATTTTTGATCACTATTTTTTACTACCAGATTTGATAGTCTGGATCCTCAGGGCCATCCTCTGCCCACTTCCAGGAAGCCATCCCTGGAACACTGCATTAGGTCCAGGAGATCTGACACTGTGTTGATCTAGTTTCACTCTGTTGCTGTGATAAAACACTCTGGCCAAAGGCAATTTAAGGAAGAAATTAGTCCATTAGACTTCTACTTCTAGGTCATAGTCTGCCATGGAAGGAAGTCAGGACAGGATCCCAGGCAGGCTTACATGCTATTCCACACAGCATTACCTGTGATCAAGGAACTTGCTTCCCAGCTGGGGAGGCATAGCAAGAATCATGGAGGCCGATGCTTAAGGTCTGGATCGCTAGCTCATGCTCACCTAGATTTTTTTATCCAGCCAAAGACCGCCTGCACATGGAATGATAAAGCTCACATTAGGATGGGCTTTCCTCCATCATTAACTGTCAAAACAGTCCCTCAGTAGAGACTTCTCTCTTAGGTAACTGTAGTGGTTTGAATATGCTTGATCCATGGGGATGGCATGATTATAATGTGTGCCCTTGTTGGATTAGCTGTGGCCTTGTTGGAAGAATCACACCCTGTAGTTGTTTTCAGATCCTATACTAAAGCTCCACATGGGCAGAAGTGACCCCTCTTCTGGCTGTCTTCTGATACAGACGTAGAACTCTTGGCTGTTCCAGAATCAAGTCAGCTTGCAAGATGTCATGATTCCCATCATGATGTCCAGGAACTGAATCCCTGAAACTGTAAGGAGGCCCCAATTAAATATTGTCCTTTATAAGAGTTTCCTTAGTCATGGTGCCTCTTCACAGCAATGGAACCCTGACTAAGACAGTTAACTGTAGGTTGCATCACACTGATTGCTAAAGCCAGTTAAAGATGTCCAATTCTATGATCTGAGAGGACAGATCAGAAAAACTGTCTCCATGCAACTTCTGTTCCATCTTTGCCCTGCTCCACTATCACCCAGCATCCTCACAAACCATCCTGACTCCACACAGTCTACATGGACAGCTTCTGGAGATTCTCCAGAATTGATAGATCCAGAAAAGTTATCTCGAACTTATCCGGCCATGACTGACAAGGCTTAACCCAAGCAAGGTCTTACAATAACAGATAAGAGAATTGTCCTGGTGGAAAGCAGGGGTTGGTTACACCTAGACCTGCATCTTCGAGCAGGAGAGAATGACCATGCCTTACTTAGCACAGTGGAAGCTCAGTGTCAGATTCTCTCTCCCTCTGTGTCTGTCTGTCTCTCTGTCTCTGTCTCTGTCTCTCTGTCTCACTCTGTATCTCTGTCTCTGTTTCTCTGTTTCCCACTCCCTACATTCCCCCCCTCCTTTCTTGGTTTCATAGGTAGAGACTGTTTCTGAGTCCTTTGCTCCCTGCCTCTAAGGTCATTTCGTATTTCCTTCACAGAGGATGTTTCTCTTTGCGATAGCTTCAAGGTTGAAAAGTCTGGACGATGGAAGAATGAAGTTAAAGGCCTACTGAACAGACAGACTTTTTTTTCCTACAAAGATAACAAATGTCATGCCATTGATGATTTGGGGAACAAAATTAATGCCACAAATTTCTGTGAAAAACAGGGTGACACTCTGACACATGGAGTTGTCACTTTCAAAGTGTTGCTGTTTGAAATAATGGAGACTGAGACAATCGCAGGTAAGTTTCAAATGGACTCATAGGGCTCGAGATATAGCTCAGTGGTAGAGTGTTTGCCAGCACGCATAAGGCCTTAGATTCAATCCTCACTGCTACAAAGTAAGTAAAAGAACCTACCAGATGCCCCCAGAAAGAAAGAACAGGATTTGTAACAGGTTAGGGACATTCATTGTTTTCATGGAGAAACAAGATGAATCACTGTTAATCCCACCTAAGAGGTCCAGTAGCAAGAGCAAAATGTGAAGGGTAAAACCAGATCACAGAATGAGAAGGGAGGGTGGGTAGGCAGATAGGATTAACCAAGGGCAGAGGCTGATCTCTTTCCAATGGGCACAGAGCCCCTTATTCTGCAGGCCGACATGTGTTGCCACTATGAAAGAGACAATCGTTTCAGTGGATCCTGGAACGTTAGCTTCAATGGAAGGAACATGTTCCATGTTGACACGAGCACTGACAACTGGACTAAATTGGATCCTAGACACAGGGAGATCATAAAGATGTGGAGGAAAAACAAGGATACAGCTTCCTTCTTAACCAAGAGTACACAGGGGGACTGCAGGACCTGGCTTGACGAGCTCATGATGCACTGGAAAGAACATCCAGAGCCTACAGGTGACTGGGAAGACAGGGAAAAAGCTCTGTGCAGATGAGGTGTCTGAGTATGTATAGGTTTCTGTGGTGTGTGTGTTTCTGTGGTGTGTGTATCTGGTGTGTGTGTGCGTGCGCATGTATCTGTGTAAGTGTGTGTGTATACATATGTGAGTTCATGTATTAGTGTGTGTGCGTGTGTGTTTGTGTGTGTGTGATCTCTTCACCATGAGTCCTGGGGATAATGCCATTCTTTCCATCTTTCATTTTCCTTCTCCTCCTCTCCTGTCTCACTGTGTTCACCCAGGTCACTCTGTGAGGTTCTCTCTGCTCTCACAGACAGAGCATCCTTCTGCTTCCTGCCTTCTCATTCTAGAATCACTGTTGCCATCTTCTCATCCTATCTCTCTTCTTCCCTTCACAACCCTCACATGTCAGCTCCTCTTTGACCAACAGGAGAGATGAGGTCCCATCATTACCCTGTTGCCTTACCAGAGCTACAACAGTCTGTTGAGGTCAAGGAAGTCCCCTGTCCCTTCCTACTCAGGACCCACACAAATAGCTGTTGCACAGCAAAGGTGTGGAGGTCTGTGTTACTGAATTCCCTGAGGACCCAGAAGCTGAGATGAGAATAGCTCAGATTTCAGTCCTAATCAAAGACTCAACTTGTGTTTTATTTTAGCCTTGCCAAGCACTGCTGCAGATGTGGACCAGCCTCCATCCAGGGCATGCATGCACAAGGCCTCTATCCTGCTGATAATGTTCAGCTGCTTCCTCCTGTACATTTCTATGGAGAATCCTTGACAATGACAGGTACTGGGAACAATGCTGGAAGTGGAGTAAGGAACAGATGGGTGACAAAAGAGGAACCAGGAGTGAGTGAGTTCCAGGAGTCCTGCTCTGGTCCCTCACCCGCAGATACTTACTGAGAAAAGAAGCAGTAGACTCAGAGGTCACGTCACCTGCTAGCAATAGCTTGTGCATACTCAGCCTTGGCAGGAGAGGAATTTGTCACAGACGAGTGGAAATGACAAGGGAACATGACAGGTGCCTGACCAGAGCAGATTTGTAACTATGAGGATCCCACGCTGCAGATGTGGAGCCAGCAGGAACATATAAGAAGAACATGGTAGTTCCTTTAATGTGCAGAGGGAAGAGGATTCCATCCCAAAGACCAAGAAAATGAATATAGAAACTGAGAGATGATCCAGTGGCAAGAATACTTGCTGACCCAGGTTTTATTCCAAACACCCAAATGGCAGCTCACAACCACTCCAGGTTCAGGAGGTCCAGTCCCTTCTCCACAGACAAATGGCATTCATACAGCGCCCTTGCAGACATGCAGGCTAACACTCATAAACACAACATGGAAACAAACAAAGCAGTAGCAGCTGGAGCAGTGTTCCCACTGGAGGTTGGTAGCTCTGAGCTGCTGCTAGAGTCCACTGCTCCCACCTGGACTGCCCTGATGGATAAGGTGGGACAGGGACAGTCATACAGCTTTTTTCCACACTCAGATGTTGAGAGTTTTAGAATGAAGGGGGGAAGATGACTGGAACCCCACTCAAGGCCTGGACAACCAGGACCCAGGCCCCTCTCTGGATAGGGATCCTCCAAGCTCCTCCAGCCTCTCCCTTAAGCCCTGGGTCAGGGAGCAGACCTAGTCATTACTACATTAACCTTCCCCCACCCCCATGCTCTGCAGCAGAGCCTGGGACTGACACTGGAATGTGAGGAAGGAGGGAAGAAGACAGTAGAGGCTCCAGGGATGTAGAGCCCAGGAGAGATGGGAGGAGGGAATGAATGACCCTCCGAGAGATGGGTTGAGGGTGCTGCTGGCTAATACAGGACATCCAGAAGAACTGACCAGGCTTTCCCTGGACCCTTCATAAGATGTATTTCATTACTGTAGGGTGAAGATTCTGCAAGGAAAGTCATGAGAATTCATCTGGTGCAGCCTCCACCCCTTTCCTTCCTCCCCAAGCACATCAGTCATCATGCTGCTGACACAGTGTTTCAAGGTCTTTCCACTTGGTGCTGGTCACTGTGAGGCCCTTGCTAAAGACAGGCTACTTTTTCCCTGGACAATTTACCCATAACATGGAATTACTTGATTACTTGATTTGGGAAAAAAACATAGTTATGCATCCAAACCAAGCACAAGAAACAGCATAACCAGATCTCTTTAGACAGAGTGTGAAGTTTTTAATCCTGTGTATATCACTCTTCAGTGTCTATGAGACAAACTAGCAGGAACCTATACAAGGTGCCATTCTTTAAACTGCCTATGAAAGATAGAAATATGTGTTATTTTATATGACAATATATGATAGAAACAAACTACTTTATAACATAAATAATAGTTTATAATATTATTACTGTTATAGATTAGTTCATGTGATATGCACTAAGTAGTCCAGCCATGGCCATGTGCACACTGGAGCAGGAGAGAACTTGGATCTCTCTCTGTCTGACACACTGGCTGCCCCTGCAGTGGCAACCCAGCAGTGAAAGCTGGAAGGTCCTGGGCAGCTGTCACTACTGAGTCCACACTGTCTGACATAGGCTCTGGGTCAGCACTGCTCTCCACTGTGCTGAGAGAGGCTTCTCTGTCCACATCAAGAATCTGTAGTAGAGGCGAGTGAACTGATGATTGTTGCCTCTGACCTCCACATGGGCACTTTTGAACAAGTACACTAGCACTCACACATCCTGAAAGTGTGGAGGTTGTAGAGTGTGTAGTTCACTGTTGAAACACCTTGTGTTTTGAAGCAGGGTCTCACTCTGTACACCAGGCTGGGATAGAACTCACAGAAATCCACCTACCTTTACTTCCCAGCGTTAGGCTTAAAGGTTGTATGCCACCATGCCTGACTGATCACTGGATTTTAAGCTCTAATGCTGTGCTACTAAAGTTAGCTATTAGAGCTTTAAAATTGCCTATTTCATACAGTTGTTCAGGTTTCTGGGAATGGGTATTGTCTATTAATTTGTAAACTTTACCAGCATTGAATAGACGGGCACTATTTATATATCTGAGGCATCACTAAAGGAAACCTGCAACAACTAAGCATAGGAAACAGAAATTGAGGATTGTTTGTTTAGTAGAGGTCAGTGGTAACTACAACTTTTCCCCAGACCTTACCACAACTGACTCCATGATGGAAGTGTTATTCAGGCTGTTAAATTCAGCACGTAGACAACACCACCAGCCAAAATGAAAACAAATATCCAATTCATCAAAATCCATAGTTCTGAGAATGTCTCTAATTGTAATAACTTTGGTTTTTTGCTTTTGTAGTTCTGCTTCTGGTTAACTGTTCCTGTTAACTAAAGTATGTCAACACAGAATGTGGGTTTTATGTTTAAAAGCTCTTCCTGGGAAAGACTCCATTCTACACTGGGATTCCAAACATTTCAAATAATCAGGGCCAGCTAATAAAGACTTTCTATTGGCTTAAACATATTTGGTGGGGGAGTTATATACTGCAGGATGCACAGAGGGGAAACTGCAGTCAGGAAAAATGTAATTATTAATTTAAAAAAAAAGGTCTGAGCAGTCTTCTCTGCTGAGTTTTCCAAGAACAGAACTGTCCATCCTCTAATTTTCTTACTGGAAAGTTCTTAGTACAGGATCTGGATGTCTAATTCCTGAGGTAATGTCTTTAAAGTTATCCCTTTCTATTCAGATGTTTGTAAACTTTCTTCATGTGATCGGTTTACAGGTGTTCAGGTTTGCATGAACAGGTGCTGTTTGTATTATAAAATTTTTACTTGAAATTTTCAGAATATTTTGAAATATTCTCTTGTAGTTACACTAGTTTACAAGGTTTATGGGCTTCTCTTTCATTTTTGATTATATAGTTGTAGTATTCTTTTTGTTCTTTACTCAATCTGTATAATGACCTGTGAAACTGAGTAAACTTTGGAAAGGACTTTGTTTCCATTGAATTTCTTTATTGTTTCTCTTCTATATTTCATACTTGCTGAGAGGTATTCCACCTTTCTTGCTTTACATTTGGTGTGCATATCACTATTTATCCACATCCCATTTGTTTTATTTCATATATGTTGATTAGAAATGTGTGGATGGATGAGCTTGGGGACTCATGCCTTTAATCCCAGGATTCTGGAGGCAGAGACAGGCAGATATCTGAGTTCAGGAACCTCTGTGGTCTACACATAGCATTCCAGTGCAGGCAGGAGGATGCATACACACCTTGTCTTGAAAAATCAAAACAGAAAGAAAGGAAGAAGCAATTTGCTGTTTGTGGTCAAAGTGCAGCGAATGTGTCTGCAGAATACAAATGGGACATCTATGTCATATCCCCTGCTCCTATGGCTCAGGAGTCATCATGAGAAGGAAAACCTGATCCCATGTTTACAGTAGTCAGTTTTCCTTCCGTCGCTTAAAGAGTTATTGTTATTTTATATGTTTTCATCTTCAATGTTTATTTTTATTATCAGCTTATGGATGCACATATGTATGAACACCATGTCATGCAATGCTGGCAGAAGCCAGAGAGACATCTGAGCCCCTAGAACTGGAGGTATAGACAGCTGTGAGCCACACTGTCAGTCCTGAGATCTGAACCAAGGTCCTCTGGAAGAGCATCCAGTGATCCTAACCATTGGACCATCTCTCCAGTCCCTAAAATATCAGGTTTTACCAAGACAGAAAGTTGGGAGGTGGTGAGAGTGGATCTAGAAGGAGTGAGGGGAAAATGAGGGCTGTGAATATGGTCAACCTACATGTACTCAGGCATGGGGAACTCAATGAACAAAAAGACTGTATTTAAAAATGTATTGTTTGAATTTAGTAACCCACAGCCAGACTTCATGCAGAAAATGAGGGACCTAGATAAGTCAACCCTACATGGTATATCTCCAATCCCTCCTCTCTGAGAGGTTAAATAGTCTTTCCAGCCCCAAATTCAAAAGTCTCCCACACCTATTCCTTTCCAAACCAACAAAGTCAGGTTATCACAGATATATCCCCACTTCCACGGCTAGAATTTCTTTTAATTTTATGTATGTGGATGTTTTGACTACATATATGTCTGTGCATCATGTAGATGTCTGGCATCTGAAGAAGCCAAAAGAAGGGAACAGATCTCCTGAACCCTGAGGTGACAGTTGTAGGTCACCATGCAGGTTCTGAGAATAGAATCCTGGTCCTAAGGAAGAGCGACAGAGCCCTGGATAGAGCTAAAAGATGCTGAATTTTCACCTGTTCCTTGGATCTCTCATTCAGGGAGAAACAGACAGAGCACACTCTGCTGTACCTCAGAGAGGTAGTGTGCTACAGTCTGAGCTTTAGGACACAGTGGAGAGGAACTGTGTACCATGGAGGATGGGTTAGCAGATGATGAACAGATCCAGGCCTGAAGAAACACTGCTAGACTCAATGGAAAACAGCAAATTAGAGAGAAGAGGAGAGGAGCAGACTCATGCTATGTCACAAGCTGCTGTGTAGACAGCAGCACACCAGGAGAGTTGGCATGAGCACTGAGGCAACATGAGCTGAGGAGGTGAGAAGAGAGAAAGAGACAGAGAGACACAGAGACAGAGAGAGAGAAAGAGAGAGAAAGAGGGAGAAGACAATGTCACGGAGTACACTGAGCCCTTCAGAAATTTCTCCTGAAATTCCTTTTTTTGTTTGTTTGTTGTCTAGAAAGGCAGGGAAATAGGATATGAAAATAGCTGTTGTACATTTTAATTGAGAGTAACTCTGTAAGTATGAAACGATTCAATTTTGCTAAAGTGATTCAAAAACGAAATTAAACCCAAAAAACCTCTCTGCA